GATGAAGTCATGCTTTCGTTTGACCACCACGTGCTAGCTGTTTTCCATCCTGATCCATCCTATGTCAGCTAACATCGCCCATTTAGGAAGGCAATGGTTAGGCGTGCATGTGTAACACATTTCCTAACCGTCTTAATTGGTGTGAATTCACAACCTCATGAATTGACTTTCAGTCCCTAACAAGCACTTGACCGATGCCTAACCTGAATATTGCTCACCCTATTATTCCACCTAACACGAGAGACTGGACATAGACACGTGTGATCAAAGACAGCCAGCCAGGCTTTTCATGTCTTCCACTTTCAGTGGCCACGTCTCACAGTCAGTCACCAAGGTGGACTGAGTGAATTCCTGAGCAGTACATACACCCTTTGGTCGACAGCGGGCTAGCCGGATATAACGTCTATTAAGCTAGAGATGGCGTGAGTTTGTATATGCCAAACGAGGCTTCTCTTTCCGTGCTGAGATTTCATAAGCGGTCAACCCACTGGGACTGGCTGATACAACTCCCCCCTAATAAGTGAAGTGATCACCACGATCCACCAACCACTTCACTCCCTCCTTTTCTTTACACTAGGAGTGAGTCAACGTAGTTCAGTCTTGTAGCTTCATAATATTACATTTGATGGGAGGCAATCGCATGCCAAACATTCGCAGATTGCTGCTCCTCAAGGTTGTTCAGAAGACTCTACTGGACTTTGTCAGTGTCTTCACCTCACTTAGGAGGGAGGACTATATCATCTGCATGTTCTAAGTCAACGAGATTATTTGCCCCCCCCCCCCCCCCCCGTAGTAATAAGTCAATCCCTGAAGTCAGTTAGGGTTAAGTTCATTGGTACAATACCTATGATGAAATTGCAGAGAGAAATGGGGACAGTGCGCTTGCATCCCTAACAGACACAACTGGTTGTCACCACAGTGGGAGAACGCCTGATTAAGTCCTTCCATCTCTCTCTCCTCGGGGTTTTTATTTCTATCGTCATAAATTTCATCATTAAAGAGAATCAAATGTTTACTCGACTGCTATGCATAAAACATTTTTTTTTATCAGATGTCATTTGTGTAGACGTATTATAAACGGAAATATTGTAGAGAATGAAAAGAACAATTAAGCACTTGTCTGTTTCTTTTTCTGTCAATGTTAACACACACACATAGACAAACACATATGAGTGTGTTTGTACAAGCAATATGAAATAATGCGTGATTCATTATCGCTTTAATTGCATGACTTAGTATGCAAATATTATATCTATTGATTACTATGCAAACATTGAGCGACAAAAGTATTAGTAATGATAATAAAATGCTAAAATTCATACAGATTAATTAGTTAATATACGCGCCATTGAAACTGGAAGATATCATCATGAGGCTATCTGTCTTTGACCACAGACCTTTTCATTCTGTCTCCCATGTTAAGCAATCTTATGAATAGGCACAGAGTATTTGTGTGTTGGTGACACAGCTGTAGAATGGTCGCCAACCACGCCTCATGTGGTCCGGCGTTCGATCCCCAGCCACAGACTCACTCCTTTACCTCCTTAAGCCCCTAGTAAGGATGGTAAAAAGGAAAAGTTGGCTAGGCATGAGGCTAGCAACCCCATCCTGTAAAAATAATCACCACTGCCACAGAAACTTCAAGCCTCTAGCTTGAAGCCCCCTATGTTCCACTGGGAACTTAAAGGAATAAAAAAATAGAGTGCTTAGATGAGAAAGGGAAGTCGATCGATGAAGAGGAGGGCGGTGGTTGTGAAATGACATTGGTTGGTGAAAATGGCTAGGATGTGTGCTGCTTATTCCGAGCCACCATCTGCCTTGATGAGCGAGCGATGTTAGGGTTGATGGTCAAACTAAAATTTGACATCAGTCCATGAAGTCTTTGACAGTTAGGTGTAGATTGTCCTGGTTGTGTGGAGTCTTCAAGAAGCATTAGACACAATATGACGACAAGAGACAGTTGCCGGTGGTATTGGCTCGAAATTGTTCTCATCAATGGGTTGGGAGGGGGGGTAGGTACAAATGCATTTACTTTTTATGTGACCTCTCCATGTGCAAATCCATCAAGGCCCCATGTTTTTTTCTGAATATAATTCTTCTTCTCGTGAATATCACAAGATAGAAGGAAGAGGAGAAAGAGCCTTCCTTAACTTATTATTTATTTATTTAAACGCAGAAAAACTTGGTACAATATGGCACCAAGAAAGATGCGCCACACAATATTGTGTGAGGGCTGAGATACTGCCCGGGCGCCCAGACCGAAGCAGGTGGCTTTCCTAAGGGACCACCCCCCGAGCCTTTGACTTGGAGTCTAATCCGCAAGGCAGCGGAGCAGCGTCAGGAGCTGCGTTCCCATGGTTGCCGGTGACCCATGTGGGTTCATACGCCATTTGATCCGATTGAATTCTGGAGCCCATGTACCCCATGGTAACTGCTTTTAGTCTAACCGCTATCCAAACAACCTTCCTGGCATGGTAGGACCTGCAGGGACATGAGTCCCAGCCAGTTTAGCTTGTTGGGTCACTGTGGCATTCAAGCCCGACCACCACGGCAAGGTAGCAGTTATCGGTCGGGACCATCCTTAATTAATATGAACAACTGGATGTTATTCATCCTGTATAATGTGGTAAAAAAATAAGCAAACGAAGGAGATACAACATGCACTTCTTAATCAATATATGCAAGAAGGTTGAAGCTTATCTCATTTCCTATGAGTTTTTTTTGTAGTTTGGGGAATGATAAAAGCCCCAGTAAATATATGTGTAGCTCATTCGGTTAGGCATATGACTTCTAGTCCTTGGAGGGTTTCTGTGTTGGAACTGACTTCAGTGACTCAGCGATTGACTTGTTAACAGCGAGGGAATAATCTCGTTGACTTAGAATATGCAGATGATATCATCCTCTCTAGGTGAGGTGAAGACGCCGACAAAATGCAGAGTCTTTTAAACACACCTTGAGCTGCAATCTTCGAATGTTTGGCGTGCGATTCGCTCCGGCCAAATGTAAGATGATGCTGCAGGACTGGACTACATTACCTCACTCCTAGCTTAGAAATAGGGAGTGAATTCGGTAGGGTGCGTTGACCGCCTCACTTGTTTGGGAAGTAGCATCAGCCAGTGCCAACAGGTTGATCGCTGACGAAATCTCAGAACGGATGAAGAAGGCTCGTTTTGCATATGCTAGTTTACGCCGTCTCTGGCTTCGTAGACGTGATATCCAGCTATCAACCAAAGGACGTTTGTACTGCTCAGCATTCCGCTCCGTCCTCCTTTATTGGTGGCTGTGAGACCTGGCCATTGAGAGTAGAAGACATGAAAAGATTAGCTGTCTTCGATCATAGGTGCCTGCGTTCTATCTCCCGTGTGAAGTGGTATAATAGGGTGAGCAATATTGAGGTTAGGTATCGGTCGAGTGTTAGGTAAGGAGGGGAAATCAATCGACGAGGCTGTGAAGCTACATATTTATAACAACAAGAACTAGAAGAAATAACATGCATTGTCTCGGAAGGAAATTCAATTCGCCTAGAGATCCAAGTAGGCCGCCAATGATAACACCAACAAGAAGTGGAGAAAAGTAGATGAATTGTGGCCTGGATGCATGGAAATTTACACGTGTTATAGTCTATTACAATGAAGTTTGTAGAAATGATAAATGCTCTGTTATTTTGTTGGATATTCGAAGGTAGTCGGCGAAAAAAGAACACACAGTTCCCTACAATATGCGTGGTCACCTAGCCTTGTTTGTGTGACTACACTTCCTCCGACGCGATTGATGCACTACGATCACTCAACCCCCTGCCCTTGAGGTCAAACATTTAATTTTACTCATCAAAACACAAAATGCGCTGCATAAAGTATCGTAGTTTTTGCGAGGATTGGGATACTTCACAGACGCTCAGATCGAGGCAGATGGTTGTCTTGAGGGGGGTCACCCCGCCACTGGCGAGCCCTTTGCCTAGAAGTTTTGTAACGACAAAAGACACGGCCGAGGCAACAGATCCTTTATTGAGAAAATCAACAGATATTTACATATTTTTATGTACATTATTATTCGTTATTATTAGCAAAGAAACAGCAACTTCGGATTGGCTGTTTTCTCACTGAAAGTTATTCTGTCATCTCTTTTTGGCCGTTTCTCTGAAGGTCAAATCATATACCTGCGAATCGTATTTGTACACGTTAATTCTGCTGTGATTGGTTGTTGAGTTCCTCGAGGTTAGGCTTTGTTATGGTTTTATCTCATGACCCCGATTCAGGACGTGAACATTGAGGTAGATTGATGTCTACAATTTTGCCTGGCAGACAGCTCTCACCACAGTCTGATACACAGGGCACTGAATCAACGTCAGGAGTGCTACCTCCCCATGGTTTCTAATGTTCAAAACAGACTCATACGCCATTTGATCCTTCTTTCAGAATCTGGAGTCCATTTACTTTATAGTTGTAAAATCACGGTATTACCTAAATAAACCTGCATATCCACTATTCTAGTAGTGATCACTAATGTTCACTTTCGTGGGTAACGCCTCCCCCCGTCTCGCGTGAAGGCCAGTAATGAGGACTCACACTTCAAATGATCCTATCACAATTAATTACTGTCTACCTCAAAAAAGTTCTTAAATTTGTGAACATCTTTGATTGAATTTCAGCGTTAATTCATGCAGTCATCCTGGAGACTAAATAGTATCATTAAGCGTTTCACATGATAATAAGTTGTGTCTTTGAATACTGGAAAGTAGTCGATGGAAAATGACCACTCAGTCCCTAACAATGTCTACTACTACACAGACTCAATCGATAAACTTCGATTACTGCTTTATAAAGCTGACATTAACTATTGTACATCAATAGTTAGTCAATAATTATTTCTTATACTGGTCGTATTGATTCGTCATCACGTGCGATCTGCTTTAAATGAAATCATGAATTAATTAATACATTTTATTTATTGATTGATTTTCATGTTTAAACTTTGTTTTTTTTTTTTGCATCAATCTTTAGACCCTACGTCAAATGACCAATAATCATCTTGTCCTAATGATATGCATTACAACATTTCTATCCTATCTACCAGAAGCTGGACAGTATTCATGCTTTTTTGTATATTTACGCTTAGTAAGTTTGTTTTTGTTTGTTTGTTTGTTTTAGTTTTCTTGTATTTACTGTATTTATCATTCTCAGCACATAAACACAGACACAAAGATAGACAGACAGACACTCTCTAATGATCTGCTGCAAGTCATTAGAGTGAAATATTTGTTTCGCAGTAATTTCTTTAATAAGTTTCTTGTTTGTTTTGAGTGCTATGCGTTATATCGATTGATTTACAGATATATTGAACGGTGATTACGTCACCGCCATAACCTATAGTGATTCTGATTAGATTGAAATGAGTCGTCCACTTTGTTAATTAATAATGACTAACTAACTGGAGAGAATCAAACATGCCCTGGATGAAAATCTTCGACCAGAACAGGCTGGATTCAGGAGAAACAAGTCATGCATTGATCAGATCGCCAAATTACGGATCATCATTGAACAAAGCTTGGAATGGCAGTCACCTCTCTATCTCAACTTCATCGACTTTGAAAGGGCCTTTAACAGCATCGATCGAGAGGTGATCTGGAAACTACTACGCTACTATGGGGTGCCACCGACAATTATACATCTCATCCAACAGCTGTACGACAATGCTGCATGCCAAGTAGTCCACAACGGGAAACTTACGGAATCCTTCGAAGTGAGGACAGGAGTAAGACAAGACTGCCTACTATCGCCAATGATTTTCTTGATTGCAGTAGACTGGATAATGCGACAGACAGCAGGCAGCGAGGAAACAGGCATAAAATGGACTCACACAAAAAACTTGGAGGATCTGGACTTCGCCGATGATATATGTCTGATTTCCCACAAACTGGAAGATATGCAAGTGAAAAGCAACAAGTTGGCAGAAGAAGTATCCAGAGAAGATAGGACTTCAGGTAAACATGGAGAAAACAGAGGTGATGAAAATTCCTGGGCAAAAACAACAACAGACAACGATCAGCATAAATGGGAGGAACCTGAAAGAAACAACCTCTTTTACCTACCTGGGAAGCATTGTTTCAACTACAGGCGAAACTGATGAGGATATCAAAGCAAGAATCGGAAAATCAAGACAAGCTTTCACTACTCTCAAGTCTGTGTGGAGGTCAACAGCATTCAGCATGGAAATGAAAATAAGATCCGGATTTTCAACTCCAATGTGAAGTCAGTGCTACTTGCTATACGGATCAGAGACTTGGCCAGCGCGTCATAAAGAGCATCTCAAACAAACTACAGACCTTGATTAACCTAGCTGTCTTCGCTCAATACTCAAGATCAGATGGCCGGCCAGAAAAGATCAGCAACAGAAATCTCTGGGAGCGAACCAACACAGCAGGAACCGATTGTGAAACAAATAAGCAGGAAGAAATGGAGATGGATTGGCCATACTCTCAGGAAACCATCAAGTGAGTGACATCACTAGACAAGCCATTGCTCGAGTGGAACCCGAAAGGGAAGCGGCGAGTTGGTCGTCAGTGCAAGGGTGACTTGGAGGAGGTCATGTGAAGAGGAGATGAAAACGTGTGGGCAGACATGGAGCCAAGTGAAGACTCTAGCAGAGAACCGAACGCAATGGAGACTTGCGGCTGAAGCCCTATGTTCCTGTAGGAATTAAAGTATATAATAATAATATAATAATAATAACTAAATGAATTTTTTGATCAAGAACTTTTCACTGACAAAATAAATAAACAAGCAAACACATCTAAACAGTTTGCTTGCTTATAAACAGGCCAGAAGTCACTTTAGATGCTACTGCTGCTGTTTTATGTCATAATGTATTGTTTCCTTCTTAACCAAAGGGACTAAATATGTTCGTTGTATATCAGCGTTGACTACACATCTGCTTTTGATTCTGTATCCCAGAATTCACCAGATGTTCTGTTATCGGACTGTATACGCCTTTGCTAGCCATGCTGGATAGTGTTCCCGCGCGTACGCGCGCGCGCCTTTTACTAGCTGACGCATGGTATATAGCCAATGTACTCAGCTCCACACGAGCAAGTGAACTTGTATGTATGCGTGTTGTGAAGTGATCCAATGCGACAGTTTGTCTTTCACGTGTTGGATGAGTAGTTTCTTGCAGTAGAGTATGTTATTTGTAGGCTGGCTGGCGGCGAAGTATGTTTCACTGAGAGACTTCGAAAGTTGTCTGTGGAGAATTTCTGCTTCGGTATCACTATTAAATTCGAGCTTCAATATCAGTATCTTTTTGGGGGCGACTTGAACATTATCAGTCGTCTTCTTTGATCTTAGATTCTTGTCTATGAATCTGGGTGGTAATCCATTTTCAATCAAGGTCCCTCAGAGATTTTGTAATTCTTTATCGGTTGAACTCTTCAGTACAAATCTTCCGGATCCTTGAGGAAAGAGAGTATATTAGGTTTCTCTTTCTGTTTAGAGGCACACAACTTTGAAAGTTAATAAACTGTCCGTTTCGTGTAAGCTTTTGGTAGATGTGTAACGATAGAAGGCAAGAGTCAGGCAACAGATCATTTATTAAGGAAATCAACGCATATTTATATATTTTCATGTACATTACTATGGATATTTAAGCAAACAAACACAGTCTTCCGATTGGTTGTTTCTCACGTAAAGTTAATCTTTCATCTATTTGTGACTGTTTCTTGAATGTCAAATCCTCTATATGTTAACTGCATCCGCCTACGCAAAGTCTGCTGTGGTCGGTTTTGAATCAATCTTTGTTCACATTTTCTCACGACAAATCTTGGGAACGTAAATATTGACGTAAATTACTGTCTACCAATTTGGCTAGTAGACAGCTCTCACCACAGATGGATCTTCTTAGCGAGTTGTCTGCATCCCTTTGTGGTTGAACGTCAAAGAAATGAAACTTCGAGTTAGACTCAACTTCCAAGGTGAAGTCGATGTTTTGGCGGGCGTTATTGAAGATTTGAAGTAGGTTTTTTAGATCACACTTCTCATCACAAATAATGAAAGTATCATCGATATATTAATACCAGTATAAAACTTGGGCACTTTGGTAGAGTATAACTCCATTATGGATAAGATTTTATTTTGATAAATCACACAGTGTTGTACAGTAATATTAACTGATGCGACCACTTTTCGAGCACATACTATTTATTACTCATAATCATATCAAGTCACTCACACAACTTTTTTCCTTCATTTATATACATGAGTGGAATTGATGATTAGACATTTGAATAAAAATCAATATAAGATAATGTACATTCAGAAACAATAGTAATATGAGTGTTATTCACCAAATACAATCAGATTGGAAATAAGACGAGTGTTTTTATAGTCGAAATAAGTAACTTGTTAGAATGTTGTGATGTGCTTGAATTGAAATAGAATACAATTTAAGATTATTTATTATCCTCCTCTGATTTGACTGACCGGCGGTAATAATTAATATCTTCCATATTTCTGGTATTTGCATTGAGTCATTTCTGTTGCATGTGCTGGGTGTAGAGTTATAGATAAAAAGTAGTAAAAGCAGCATAATTCTGAAGATGATGTGAGTGGACGAATTATTCAGTGTTAAAAAAAGAGTAACTATTTGTAGAACAGTTAGACAAGGGAGGGTGTGTTGTACAATTCAGATGTCGCTTGGAAACAAGAATGGACTAGAGACGAAGTACACGACACAACAACAGAATGAGTTTATGCGTTTAATGATTAGAGAGTTAAGGTGGGATAGGGTGGTGAATACTAAAGTAAAGTCATAAGATAGATAAAATAATTTAATTTAGTAGATTTGTAAACTTTATAGTGATAAGTTCAACTCAATAAGGGAAAATGAAAGTCAGAATTAAGTGGAATATTTATGCCATGGGAAAAAAATCACAAAAGTACACGAAGGAACCAGTTTTGGTTACCAGGGACGTGAGAGATTAGTCACACACACATACACACTATCTTTCTGTATACAGAGATTGGATCGAAGTCTTTTGATAACATATGTAATTATAAAGTATTGGTTTTGTAGGGATTTTGTTTGATTGCATGGAGGATTTCATCATGAACTGAAATCAGTTAGAGAAAGAACCATTGAAAAACCTTCAGGGAGTACTGGACAGCTGTTTATGTCGTCCGCCTAGTTTGGGACTCTTCATCAGTACGCACCCACTGTCAGGGTTCGAACCCAGGACCTTCTGGTTACAAGGCGAGCTCGTAGACCATTGAGCCACTGGGACCCGATCCAATGGTCCTTGAATTCTAACTTCTACCAATTCACGACATAGCGCGACTGTTTCGCAATGTCTTCTTCGATGAGTTACTGCCTCATCTTCAACCTGCTGTACCCTACTGGTCACAGCTTCCCACTAGAACCCCAGGTTAACTGTGTAAATAGGGCCAGTCACTAGCTGATGTCAGCTCATGATGAAATCCTCCATGCAAATGTAATTATGTTGTCTATACTTTCTATCTATAGTTCGAAGTTTTACAGGAAAATATGTGTTCAGAAATTTTGAAAATTATAATTGATTCTGTTTAGGATGTAGGCAGTTGAAGAGAATCCACGAAATAAAACGAGTTCGTAGTATCTATCTTGCAAATATGTGTTCGTTGTTTCTTTATTCAAAATAAACCTTATAATTCTTCTATATATTAAACCTGCGAGGAGTAGCTATGGCTCATTAGTCTAATCTCTCGAAAACTCGAACAGCTTATCCACAGATTCCGCTTTCATTTTAACTATCAATGGTGTTAATTAATTGGTGGATGGTGACTAGCAGTGGAATCCAGGATAACGCTCATTTGTTCCTATTTGGCACTCGTCCGCCAGCTGGATGTATCTGCATCCCGCAGTGAGTGATGATTTTACCACCGAGGCTCGAATTAATTAATTGATTAATATGACCCGTTGCACAAGAGGTGGCTCTCGTGGTCCAGTTGGTCCAGTGGATAACGCTTTGGCGTTTGAAACTATGGGCACTGGGTTCGAGCTTCGGTGGGAGCATCATCACTCTCTACGGGATGCAGGTACATCCAGTTGACGAGTCCCAAATAGGACGAAGTGCGCGTTGTCCTGGACT